CCGACCTCAAACCCTTTATACCCAAAGCTTCAACTTTGAACACCTAAACCCATCCTGAAGTTTCCTGACAACCACCAAACTTAGAGGCCGAAAGCCCCGACACTGCGAACATCGACTTCGACCTCTTCGCCCGCACTGTCACTGCTGGGATCCACAGTTTGAGGTTCAGGGTCTGGGCTTTCAGTTCTAGGGACGTGTGTTTTTCTAAGCTTTCAACATGGCTTTTTGAAGGCTTGTGTGAGGCATCGTGCGAGTGCGGCAGGATAGGGTGAGGTTTTTGCCCGAAGGGGGAGGTTGGCTTCAGAAGCGTATTCGAGGCTTCTTAGAAGCGTTCTGGGGTGTTCTAAGAGGGCTTCGCTGTGCCCCGCCGTTCTTCTAAGAATCACCTTGGTATTCGCGCAGAAGGTTCTTAAAGGGTTGTTTCCTCCCTTCGCATCGAAGGGCGCCTGCCTTCGCGTCTAGGTTTGCCCCCCTTCTAAGAAGGCCTTGGCCGTCGAAACCAGAACCAACGACTTTCCCTTTAAACTAATCTTCCGGATTCCCGGTCTTCTGGCAGGGGGTGGCTTCTGTTGGGGTTAGAGCTTCAGACCTTGTCTACAGCTTGCAAGTGGCTCAGGGCCAAGTTGGGCCTTGCGCAACACTCCATGTCTATGGGCACGTGTCTTTTGTGCAGTCACTGTCATTTTGCACAGTCACTGTCATTTGGGAGACGAAGCATTGAAGCATGGGCATGATTCATGGACAGGGCAGAATCAATGAGTGAACAATAAGTGTCGTCAATAGATGCTTGATTGATCTCGAACATGGCAGCCGAAGAGTTGCCTCCAGATCCACGAGCAGCTGGAAGCAGCTGCACAGAAGTGGACCATCGGCAGTGGGTGCGCTTGCGCGACAGTCGAACAGAGGAAGGAGAGGCAAGACAAGTCCTGAGGCATGAGCTCTCCGGCGAAGAGGTTGCTTTGAAAACGCCTGGGGCGAATTTGCATTACCAAGATGCCTTCGCATATCTCAGTTTCTCTGATGACAGCAACGCTCTGTCAATGGGTTTCAGCCTTCTTGCAGAAATCTGTTTGGGCGGCACCGTCTCTGGTGCTCAGTTTGTTTTTGAGCACCACGTGGATGGCTACAGGTGCCGGTGGTGCTGCGAAATGGAGATTCTTAAAAGTGTCGTGTGTATGCCTCTGGAGCATGGATGTGGCAAGACAGCACAGCTCCATGTGTGGTGCTTCAAAACATTGTCGCGACAGAGGCACGGCCGACTCTTCTTTGAGATATCCTGGTTTCTGCAAGCATTGGGTTTGGAGCATTCTAGGGGATGGATTGCTGAGAAGTGGCGTAAGGCTTGGAGAGTCATGATGGAAAGGCGTGAATTGAACGAGGCCCACTATCTGGTTCCCTACAAAAGCTCGGCGTCTCAGAGGTTGAGCGAAGGGGGCCGGTGTGTTGACGGGTACGCTTCGTCGAGTGCAGCTACTGTGCACTTCCTGGTGAACCTGGGGCGGCGGCGACAGGACGTTGGACTGCTGAGCTGTATCAAAGCTTCCTGAGGAAGTTTCTTCCACCAGGGACATTCACTGTCACTGGCCCCTCAAGCTCCTGTTTGGATGGTCATGTCCTGCCCGGTTTCGCAGGCAAACCCTGTCACTACACGAAGCCCTGAGTGACCTAGAAGAATCCAACAAGGCATCCAGCAAGCTGTACACTGCTGTCCAAAAAATTGAACATCCCTGAGCCCCTTCAGAAAATGAAAATGAATATTCAGGATTTCAAGTTGGAGAATAGCCTACGAGTTAGCGAAGCCGCCCTATGCCATGGATCCCTCAGCATCAGATGCATCGACCTGTGGATGGAGGACACAAATGCCGAGCAGTTGGACGCGCCGTTCTTCCGAAAAGAGATCCCAGTGTCAGCCAGGACCCAGTGAGCATCAACCCTGCTGTTTCAGCAGGGCCAAGGGGATTGGCGGAGACATTGCTGGGCATCCCAGTGTGTTCAATGTCAGTGAGAAAATTTTGCATGGCAGCAGATTCTACTGCTTGTCCATGCCACGGGGTAGTGTACTCTTCAAGCCATGGGGGTCGAAAAGACTGTCGCTGAGCAGTGCCCATTGCGTCAGCCACAATCGGAGTCGATGTATGCTTTGCACTTGTTGAAAAAAAAGCCTTCCTTGGCCAGGTGAAGATGTGGCTCCATTGAAGCAGGCCTGGGATCCATGTCTGACACAGTGCCTGAGACATGATGATTCTAGTGACTGACTGAGACATAGACTGACTGTAGTGAGTGGGCAGCGGCTCAAGCAGCTTTCTGTGATCATATAGTGCTGGTGCCACTTTGCCACCGCAATCAGCTGTGAGACCAATGGTCAAGAGAACTGGCAGGAAGCAGATGGCACCGTGCCAAGGCCAAGACTGCCATTGCAGCAAGGAAGAAAGCCAAGACGGCTGAGGAGGTGAAATCCATGCAGCAACGCAGTGTTCATCACGCTTCGGCGCGGGCTTTGGATGAGCTCGTGGAGATGCTCAAGCCCCGCCCCTTGGTGACCCAGCATTTGCTGTCACTCCTTGACACGAAAGCCTTTGATGGAGTTGACAAGTTCAACGAGCAAGACAACGACAAGCTCCCTCCTAGCTGCAACAAGTTTGGACTACTTGCCAAGACCATTGTCATTGGTCTCATAAGCGACATGCTTCCTGCCTTGCAGGAGTGGTTGAACAGTATGCCCAAGAAAGCCTGCAAGAAGCCCATGCTCCAAATGCTTTGCTTCATGTGCCACACTTCGGAAAAGTCTGCGTTGCCAAGTAAGCGCAAGACTGTGCTTGCAGAGTTGTGCCTAGCCCGGTGGAGAGACCATGGTCTCAGGATGAAGAATGTGTCCTTGAACAATCCACCCCGGGATGAGGATGAAGATATACCGAAGTCTCCGACGTACGCAAACTACTAGTATAATGCCTCACTTACCGGCGCCAAACTCCTACTTCTGAGGGAGGCACCAAGCCACGCCTACTTTTGAGGGCAGCGCCAAAACTAGACCGAAAACGTCGCACTACGCTACCCTCCAAGCAGCTACCAAGTCCGACACCCAATGATGCAGCATGCGTCCACACTGACATCAAGGCAGAGAGCGACGTGGATTAAAGGCCTTTGCCAAGAAGAAGATACAGAGGTGGGGCACTGGAGCCTCTCAGCGACCGAGGAGGACTCGGAGGAGGTGGAGCTGCACTACTTGCCAGGGGGGATAACTTGCAAGCTGCCTGCAAAGCTGAAGGCCGTCAGCTCGGAGTTGGACATTACGGATCCGCCTCTTGGATGGACATGTGAGGTTTGGCAGGGACGTTTGCTGTTGTAGAGTTTATCATTTTAATTGGGCTTGAGTTGCCAAGGCTTCACTTTCAGAATGCCAAGCTGATTGCAAACCATGGCTTGATCAGTGTGTCTTGCCTGCAGATTTGGGAAGAAATGGGCGGCGAAACTCTCGAGCTGCCATACTTCGTGAAGGAAGTCCCTGTCCCTGTCACTGGGAGCGCAAGCTCCACACCTTCACCTGCGAGAGCCAGCCTTTCCTCGTCTCCAAGGACACCAGTGCACCGTGGGGCCAGGGAGAGCAGCATGACGCCGCCTCCACCACCTGGCCGTGGAGGTGCTTTCTTGGGCGACTTCAGCTGATGAGCCTCGCACAGGCTATGATCTCAGTCCAGCATTGCTGGAAAGTTTTGAAAGTCTTGGTAGTGCATAGTCCAGTGCCTCCACAGGGTAGTCACATGACACGTTCTAGGGATTCCTCCCGGGGGCCCCAATCCTTGCTGCAGAGAAAGAGTACAGGTATCCATTCTGGTTGTCAATCATCGCTGTCATTCATTGGCCAGCAAGGCACCCAACGTATCCCAATGTCACTGGGGCCACATTTTCGGCCACAGGTGGACTGTGGGCCACAGGGCGTGCGTGTGACGTGGAGAAAGAAGGCGACTGGCCGTGCGAAAAAAATTACAGTGATGCGTTGAGATTATGCCAAGACGACGGTGACATTGCATTGCAACAGGCATTCGTGCATTGATTCGCTTAGGGCAGAGTTTAAATCTGGAAGGCCAGCATTTTTGTTGCGAAGACCACGACCAGTCCATGAAGGCGCAGAACATTTGTCATGACAGCGTTCATGGTCAATGTCACTGTCAGTAGAAATAGGAAGTGTGCAGAAGGGCAGTACCCAGCTGACCATGACCACTTTTGACTCTTGCTGTGTTGTGGCTGGCAAGCAGTTCCAGGCGTTGCCTGTTTATATTTTGGCAAGTTCACTGGAGCAGCATTACCCCTTCCCCCCCACCCATGGCATGCAAGTAGGGTAGTGTTCGTTGTCATGGAGAAAAGACCCCATGTGATGACGCAAGCAATTACGGAAATAATTAAGTTAGCAGGATGCCGCCTCTAATGTCCAGGATGGTTCCGTTCCCTACAGACTGGTTGCCTGTGTACACTTTGTTCAAGGAGATTCGGAACAAACAAGTCTTGGCCGTCATCTCGTGTATGGATGGCCGACCCAGGCCAAAGCGCATCTCAGGCGCCTGTGAGGATGCTGGTCTGGTGGCATGGTCATTGGACACAAGGAACTCGCCGAAAGAAGACCTGACGAAGAGCTGTGGCATCCAAAAGTTTCTGGACGCTCTCAGTCAGAGTGCTGTGGACAGTTTGGTGTGGCTGGCGCCCGAGTGCTGCACTTGGGTGTGGATCAATCGCCACAGTAGTGGCAGGCGTGAAAACCGGATCGAAGGGCTGCCCTCCAGCAGAGTCCTGCAGGCCAACGAGGTTGCACGGTCGGTGGCCCTCGCGATTTTGGCTGCCACAGCAGCAGGTGTCTCGACTGCATGAAGCTCCCCCCAGACACCCCCAAGACCTGGTACAATTTCAGTTTTTGTTCGCGCATCGACATATATGAATCTTCCAGTCAGAAACACTGCCAAGAACTTTGCTGTTTACAGTAAGTTTGCAGGCTTATGGCTGCGTAAATGTTCTTGCGAAGCTTTACTTGAAGCTGACTGGATTCCGGTTCGTAACAGGGCGATTTTCCAACATGAATAATATGGTATCTACAGTAGTTTCGAGAGAGAACGCTGGCTTAGGTTTATACGTTTGTCTAGCTACATCGCCTTCGTTCTTGTAACAATTGTAACAACATGATTTACTATGTGTTCCTCTATACTGTTTATTTCATGTTGAAAGTGACGTTTGTATCTTACTGCCCTCAGTACACACAGCCAGCAACTCATCTGCCACGCCAGCATCTTTGTTTTATTTCTGATCTGCTCTCGTCCGTTCGTGTGAGTTCGATGTTCGTTGAAATCGGGAGAGCCCTTTCTGGCTAAGTGTATGCATTAATGATGTGGTGCGTATGCTCCATAGTAAGTAAAGGTGCCGTTTAAGGGTCAGAGTATTGAAGTCTGAAGTACTCATTCCGTATGATATATGTACCTTCCTGCTCTTAATGAGGGGTTCCATTGTTGAAGGGAATGAAATGTCGAAGCTGCAAGGTTCGACGGCGTCAGTTTTTAAATGTAAGGAGCTTTGCTTTAAAGGAGCTGGCATCTAGAGTTGTGAGCTTGTGTTACTTTGTCCACTTGTTTTGCGCGACCTGTCTGGTCACTCCACCTCCCCCGCCCGCTCCAAATGACACGCGAATGCTTTGAAAACATCGGCAGGCGCGATCTAAACAACCGAGCTTCAGTAATTCCAGTATCAGTCAGGGCGTCATGCTTTGTGTTTTCCTTTACAAACAGACGCAGCACAGCGAGATCGACGTCAGGGAATACGGTGAGCAAATAACGTTCGTCTATCCATGGGCTTGCTCCCTCCACAGCAGCGTTCCTGCGTGCGCATAGACATCTGCTCTCGGGCGCCTATGCCCATGCTTCTGTGTGACTCAGCCCCAGCGGTAGCTAATAAAATTTCTTTCTACCCACCGACCATCAAAACCATAATGGTAACCTCATAATTATAACCCCCCCCCCCGGTTCCATTGATTCAATCCCCCCCCCCCGACCCTCTATTGAGGGGGGTCAATCGGACTGGTAAACTCTCATTCTGAATAGAAACTTGGTTTTAACCCTAGGGGCTTCAGGGTTTAAGGGCGGGCTTGAGAGCGATTCTCAAGGGCTTATTTACTTGAGGGCCCTAAGGGCTGAAGGCTTCAAGGCTTACTTAAGAGCTTCAGGGCTTAGTTAAGGGCTTACGCGAGGGCTTAAGGGCTTACGGGCTTTAAGGGCTTACTGCTTCAGGGCTTCCTTGAGGGCTTAAGAGCTTACTTAAGGACTTAAGGGTTTAAGGTAAAGGCTTAAGGGCTTCAGAACTTGCTTAGGGCTTAAGGCTTAAGGGTTTGCTTAAGAGTTTGCTTATGGCCCTGTCCCAGGCAGAGGTTTATAATTGTGGGGGGTTTATAATTAAGGAGGAACCTCCTCCATGGACTCCCCTCTATAATGGATTGATTTTTTGTCTTTTAAATAGGGTTTTATAAGGAAATCCTCGGTTTCTGAATGTCCTCCAATTTCTAAATTCCGGCAGTCACTGGCTTAAGGCTCCAGACTCCGGGCCCTGCAGTCTCTGGCTTACAGCTACAGCCCCTGCAGTCTCAAGTTTTAGGCTCCACTCCCTGCAGTCTCTGGCTTAAGCCTACAGGCCCTGCAGTCTCTGGCCTAAGCCTATAGGCCCTGCAGTCTCTGGCTTACGGCTACAGCCCCTGCAGTCTCACGTTTTAGGCTCCTCTCCCTGCAGTCTCTGGCTTAAGCCTACAGGCCCTGCAGTCTCTGGCTTAAGCCTACAGGCCCTGCAGTCTCTGGCTTAAGCCTACAGGCCCTGCAGTCTCTAGCTTACAGCTACAGCCCCTGCAGTCTCAAGTTTTAGGCTCCACTCCCTGCAGTCTCTGGCTTAAGCCTACAGGCCCTGCAGTCTCAAGTTTAAGGCTTCAGATCTGCAAAGCTTAACATGGAACATCTACATTTTTTAAAATTTAACTGGGCCGGAGGTTTGTTAATTGAGGGAGGGGGTTATTATTCAGTTCCGGGCCTGGGGTTTGTTAATTGAGGAGGGGTTTATAAATCTGAGGTTAACATAAGCGCGGAGCCAAACTGAAGAGCTGTATGATCCAATGAAGGCTTGTTACGCAGCAAAGGGGTAAGTTTAGTTAGTAAAGTTAACCCCAAACATTGACCAAGCAACTGATTCTTCAATAGTGCTGCTAATTCTTAAAAGCACCAGCCAGAAGAATATGTACTTCAACTGATTCCAATAGTTGGGGCGAGCTCTAACTCTCATTAAAGTCTGAAATCTGAAAGGTAATGTATTTAGGAGACATCGAGCTATGTTATCCTGTGTTTTAGGCATAGTATTTTAGTTCAGCAAGGTAGCTCTTACACATATTGGCCTTCCTCCTCAGAAGTAGGGAAGGTACAGAACATTCTACAATTAGGCTGTATTTCATTTCTTTGATTGCTGAAAGGAAACATGTCCTTCAGTTTATGGAAATAAGCCCATAAATCTATTCGCCGTCCTCCTCATGATTAGGGGTTGGTTTGTTTACAGTTTACACTATTTTCCTTCCAAATAGAAAAGGCGAAAGATTCGATGGGATGCCTTTAAGGTAAGTTTAATGGAGCTGGTCCCAAATTAAATGAGCTCGTGCTTAATTTGTCAAGTGGTTTTGTGTTTGCTGGGTTGGGAAGTGTTGAGGGGAAGTTGACATATTCAGGACCTCGCGTAATAGATACCTTTCGCAGGAAGCAGATTCACTGGGTTCAGCTTTCCACATTCCCAGATTTCTTGGCCTCCCAGATTGCGGTCATGCCTCATCTCACCCCTGTGAATTCTAAGGTCTTTTCATTGTCATTGAGCAGCCTGTCGGTTCTTTGTTGCTGAAGTTCCCCTGTGTCAGACATGCTCTGGAACAGACACGGGCCCGCAAAGTTACAATTCACATGATGTCTTTCGGGGGCAGCACAAGCAAGGGATTATGGCTGGTCGGTACTGCTCCATGGCTTGAGGAGCTGCAGGAGGTTTCCCGCGAAAACCGCCCCGAAGACACGTGGACTTTGGGCGCACTCAGTGGCAGAGATGAACATGGGAGGGTGACTGGGGTCGAAGAGGACTTGAGGGAGAGCGAGGAATACACTCCACAGTTCACTGAAGCTTGGTTCAGAATTGGCCCCACTGTTCTTAGATTGTTCCAAAGCTATGACATGTATGATTTGTTTGTGTACTGACAGACGTCAGGACACTGTCGCCTTGCTTCATTGCAAATATCTTCGACGCCTGGGCCGTCTGGAGTAGTCAGTCGTGTACAGCTTCCGGTTTGAAAGATTTGAAACCAAAGATCTGGTTTCCAGATTTGGGGGAGCCACTGTCATTACGTGACAGATTTTGCAGTCTGGGGAAAAGACAATCATGCGAGAGCACATGCAATTCTCCACAAACGAGTAATGAATTCCTCCTTGCCTTTGCTCTGCCGAAAGGATGTGGTCATCAGCTTGCAGCTTGCTCTGCTCGTGAGCTTGCCCGTGGCCACCCCAGACACTGCTAGCTGCAGAGTTTCCTGACTTCGTGGCAGCATTGCATTGCTGTTTGCAGACCATGTGGAAGCTACGTTGCATGTACTTGAGCCACTCAAGTCCTCAGAAACGCTGGCG